CCAGGACGTGGTGATGGTCGCAGCACCTTCAGTCCTCAGCATCTGCTGCCGGGACTCCACGTATTTGGAGAACTGCTTAATCGCGACTGGAAGATTGAGAGGTAAATGTTAAATATTTACCATGATAAATGCAGAGTACTGGCCTAGAACAGTCATCTTATTTGTTATTATAAGCTAATTTGTTTGCAARGCAGAAAGTATTGACATTCAACCTTCTCTAGAACATTTATTGTGCCTTTAAACAGCTGGTGARTTCTCAGCAATGAATGCCCTTTTGTCCTGGCCAGGTATTTTTCTGAGCGTTAGCATTTTGACAAACATCCCTTACAAAAGGTTGTTTACCCGCTTGGCACCTTTCTGTTTCCCTGCCTGGTCACAAATAACCCCAAACAAGCTACCGCAAACATTGACTCAGCCCGAATTTTCTATTTTTCTTGGTAAATAGGTGTGGAAAAACACAAGTGCTCAAAACGTGGCCTGGAGCATCCCGGGTGCCACGGGCRACAGGCTGGCTATGTTGGCCCTTTTCGCTGCGTTTTTGGGTCAGATTTATCCTCCCTGTGTACTTGCTGGCTCTGCCAGACAAAGTCTGTAGAGTTTCCTCACAAACTGCCTGGCAACGTGTGCGTTTTGGGTCGGGATCAGCCGGGTGACAACCGGCCTTCAGGCTGAGGCACGAGACAGGCTCGAATCCGCCCTTTGTGGCCCCGCTCACCGAAAACACAGGGCCCTGACGCTCCAAATCCACCTCCAGTTAACAGAAGCCAATACCTGCTTACAGGAAACCGTTTTTTACTTACAGGAAACACTTTTTGAGCGCCGTTTTACCTCATGGAAATTACTTGTCTGCAAATAAGCCGCAGCCCGGGTACGGCCCGGCGGCCTCTGAGAGAAACGGAGGCAGCAGCGGAAGTGGGGGGCGCAAACAGACCTGGCCGTCTCCGGGGACAAACATGTTGTATATATCCCTTTAAAAAGAAAAGAAAACATCCCAAAAATGGCATAAATTAGCTGTAATTGATTTAAAGCATATGTTTCAGTCAGGTTTCTTTTACCTATTGTATTTGGCTTAAAGCAAGGGCCTGGGTATACCCATGTAAGCAGATATTTACACATGGGCACACAGGTGTGGGGGTGTTTTAGTTGCAGCGGGGATGTTAGTAAATAAATCTGGGACAAACGCTGCTCCAGGCCCTAGTTATCAATGGGGCCAGGAGCAGTAGTACGAAAAGTAGCAGAGTAGGTTCTCCACAGGAAGAAATTAACATGGCCGAGGGAAACATTTTATTTCAGTAGCSTTGAGCTGTGGATTCCCCTCCCCCGGGGGCTTGCGCTAATTTATTGGTAATAATTAGTTTCAATCACCTCGGCTTTCCCGCCTTTTCCTCCCCTCTCCGCCCCCCCCCCCCGCACCCCTTTCAGATCCGAGGGGGAGGGGCGGGGAAGCGAGGGCCTCGAGGCCTTTCCCGCCCGCGTGGCCACGCCCCTCTTTTTGAATATTCAATGAGCACGCTCCACGYGCAATGCCCGTGCCTCTGCACTAGCCACGCCCCCTCCATGAATAAATAATGAGAGGCGAGCGTTGGGCGTCCATTTCAGAGCGCGGGTGCCGCCCCGCGCCATGGCGGCCGCAGCGCCCTGGGCAACGCTCTATGGCGGACCAGGGCGGCCAAACCATTATTATTATTATTATTATTATTATTATTATTATTATTATTATTATTATTATTATTATTATTATTATTATTATTATTATTATTTCCTACATAATGTCATTTCCTTTACAAATTCCCCTTCCAAAGTCGCTGCAGTAGCTGGTTCTGCTGAGGGCAAGGGACCGGATCCCTTGGGTTACCCTCATTTCTAGAGGCTCCTAGGGCGGTTCTCCCATACGATGGCAGCAGAGAGCTACAGCTGGATTAAAAGCGGTTTTCCCCGTGGGSTTTTTTTCTTTTCCTTATCCCCAAGTCTTTGTTTAGTTTTATTTTTCCAGGAACTTCGTTGAAGGGAGAACTTATCCGGGCGAAAATGAAGTAGAAACAAAATAAAAAGCAAATGTAAAAAATAGAGCATCGCTTGAGAATTGCAGATTAAGTAAGTGGGGGGGAGAATGCCGTGATGATGTAGCCACATCTGCAGTATTTTTGTTTGCAAAGGCAAAATAGACGAAACCAACGTGCCACCCATGGCATTGCAGCAGGGTTTAACCTCTTTGGAGGTTAAACCTCAGTTTAGCCTCTTTGGACAACATACACGATTAAAAACAAATATATTTAAGGGATTTAATTRTCCCTTAAAGCCTGGGAGCAACCTGTGGTTTCTCCGGATGAACCGTTCCCAGCAGWGACCGGGCACATGGGCCAATTCCCGGCTCCGCGGGGGTTTAAGGGCTCCCCAAGGCTGAGCTTACAGCCAGCCCCGTGTTTACCCGCGCTGATAGACCTAACCTACCCAAACACGTCTAACTATCTTATGATCGACGTAATTACTGATAGTGGCGGTGACACTGCAGCCCATGATTTAATTACGTGTTGTGCGGAAGAAGTGTTTGCTCGTGTTTGGTTTAAATTGGTTGAATGAGTCACAGGGGTTTTTTGGGTTTTTTTTTTTGCTCCCTTCGAGGTCCTGTAATCCCGGGCTGTGTTTACAAATTGTTTTGAGATGACGAGATGAAAGTTCATAAGGGGGAAAAAACACAATCGGGTCGTTATTAGCTATGGTGCTGATTCTACTAGAGCGCTAAGTGCTTAATGTAAGTGCTCGGGTGCCGCGTGTCTCATTTATGCCGTCCTGCCCACGCTGCGTGTGTGAGCAACRTTACGTAAGCCTGGTAAAAATACCCCTTGTGTCCCTGCTGCAATGATAGCTCCCCGTTACTCAAGCACATATTATATGAACCATTTTGGGGTGTCTAAATACCACAGAGGCCCCCCCAGCCTTGCCTTATACATTACTTTTTGGCGCTCGGTCTGCCCTTTTCACGTATTCCCCACAGCCTCCACAGCCAGAAGCCTCCTCGATGGCTGGAAAGCCCTTGAGGAACCGACAGCCAGAAAAGCTGAGATTCTTTTGTGGTTTCTTGGGTTTTTTTGCCGGGGCATTAAAATAACAGCAAATGTGGTGGGAATCCAAGGAGAATCATGGAGAATTTGCACCATTAGGCCCACTACTAGTAAGAACAGCATCGACTGCAAAAGATGGACAAAAATCTTACAAAATGGAAATAATCAACCACATAAAAAGGCCATAATGCATGCTAAATTTCATGACGTTTAATAGGAAGTCTTAGTTAATTTTTTTCAGTATTTACTCTGTTTAAATGATCTTTTTTCCACGTTTTCCAAGTGTTTATTCCCTCTCGAGGTTTCTGTGAAACTCCGAGATGTTATTTAGATGTTGCCTTTCATTTATATTTGCACAGAGCCGTTTAAGGCTGGTTATAAGATGATAAAAGTACAATTAGTGCGAGCTGGCTGACTCATCCCGCGCGGGTTCTGCTCCGGGATACGGAGCGAATTAAGGCGCTGTTTTGTATCCTCCTCCTTGATGAATTCTCATAAAATCACCATATTCTCTTGGGTTTGCATTGCTATTTAAGACCTGCTGGCTCCTAATACTGCAATGTGGTCTTAGCCATTGAAATAAGACAGGCAAATGTCTTTTTTTTTTTTTTTTTTTTTAAGGATCAGAATAAAATTAGAAGAAAATTATAGTTTTGATTCCAACCTCAATTATATGAGTTTTTACCCTAGATCTATCCCGGGAACCTCTCCTGTGACGATGTCTTATTACTAAGGCAGAAAAGGCACACAAGGGACCTTTAAAAAAAGCTCCTTAAATGGCTTGTATTTTTATGGTGTCATTAGAAGCAGACCAGGTGAAAAAAATGATCCCATTTTGCAGAGAAGTTTGGGTAACACAACTGAAAATCCTTTGCATGTTTTATTTTGAAAACTGAGCAGTCCAAAAT